AAGGTTTAGTGATGGAGACACTCATGACGGGTGACAAGAGTTGATGTCAACTGATAAGAAAAGATAGAATCATCTCCACTGCATGTCGTACCGCAGAAGGAGGCGCGCTAGTTAGTCGGCGAGCCGACTGTTTTTAAGGTGCAGTGTGACAACCAGGGGGGGGGCATTTTGCACTTTCGCTACTTCCCATCGACTTGTCGACCTATCCAGGAATCCTGCTTTCGAGTTGACAGGTAGCATGATGGCGAGATGAGCTTGCTCCAGCTTCACAAGAGTTCACAGGTTTCGCCAGAGTGAGACTTGTAAACCGGAACTAGGGAAGCAATGATAGTACAAAATGCCCCCCCCCCCCGTCGTCAAACTGCGCCGTGTTTATATGCGAATAATGATTAAGGGCATTTTGGCTCTTACAATTAGCACATCTTATGCTGGGAGTGAAGAGTGCAATCCAGTTTATTTCGCGCACTGCTTTGTGGTCACCGTCGATGCATTCTAGACGAAAACACTGCATACCACGATTATCAGGAAAAATGGGAATGGAGCATGCGCATTGAAGTCAATGCACGTGGAGCTCAGTGCTTTGAGGGCATATTTTCCCTTGAGTCGTCGAAAACTTTTCAGGTAGTGGCTTAAAAACACAAGCGCATGAGCTACTGGTTTTGTCCGTGAGGAAAAAGCAGCAGCAGTGTGGAGTCGCCCCAAATAAGGTCTTCCTTGTCAAGAAAAGCAAAAAATCGATGAGGATTCTGAGAGAGAAACCAGACAACAGTTACCAGAGAGTATGCAAACGGGCAAGACAACAGGCGCAGCAGCTAGCAAGATGGGGCGGCGCAGCGTTGTGCCTTAACGCCGCAACCTCAAGACTTTATGAAACTTGCATAGTATTGCCCGCTGCAATTCACATTACCTTTCGCCACTTGCCTCACGCGACCTTTCACGACCTTTTAAATGCACCTTATGCTCAGAAAATAGGGCGATGATCCAATAATATTAAGTATTCCAATTATAGACATTGACGAATGCGCATCTAAACCATGCCAAACGGAAGCGGAATGTCTGAACACTCCTGGTTCGTATGTGTGCGCTCGGGATCCCGACAATGCCGTGGGTTTTTTCCGCTTTGTTCATATTATATGATCATCCGCATTCTCACGGGCCCGTCAAATGGCTTCAAAAAGCAGAAAGGCAATGGTGTGCTCCTCCTAGGGATGCGCCACACATGCGACTTCGATTTGTTCAGGTGTGTCCGAACGGAACTGAGGTCGTCGTCACTGGCCCGTTCTCGTATCGATGCGATTGTAGCTGGATATATGCGGGTTCAAATTGCCGATTTCGTAAGTATAGCTTCTGATATTAAATTCACTGACCAGTAGAGATGTGGCGTCAATCCTCCTAAGTGATTGTCAAGTCCTCGTATCTTTCTTGGGCACTGTGCAACTATTTCGACCCCAGAAGTGGAACAGGTTAGCACCTATAACGTCACCAAGCTTCTTACGATCGTAAAGAATGAGGCTGCAAATCATTTACCAGCAGAACTCACAATTCATCCCTCTAGTTATTGTTTATTAGGTTACTCAAAAAGCCAATCCACCGTTCTTTTCAGACGGTATTGACGATAAGACCACTTTACTTGATGATCCACAGTTCAGCGTATGACACAGTTTTCTCCAGGTTATCTTAGGAGAGTCTCCAATTTCAGCGCTGACGTTGATACTTCTTGTTCTTGCTTGTTTCTTCCTTCTCACGACAATTATCGCTATCCTTTTCGCTGTCTGCCAGAAACGACGGAATCGAACGGGAACGTAGGTCAATTCTGGATACGATCTTCACTTTTTTCAGGGCCGAATGATTATCTCCATAAGGTTTTTTGTTTATTACAAGTTGTAAGGGTTTATTCCTGCGTCACGATTATGACTAGCCCTATTTCCTGACTAATTTTTAAAAGCTTACACCAGCCTATTTTTGGCATAGAGTGGAGTAAGAGAAGTCATGCAAAGCTGCTTTTCACCTGGCGCCAACCATGGCACAAAGCCACAGTGCCCGCCGATCGTATAGGTAGAACAAGCAAGGCACGTCGTGCGCTGCGGAGTTCCCCAGTGGGGAGTCGTAATCACTCGCTGGAGTAGTCATACTTGGCCTGGGAAAATTTTTCTATGCGCGAAAAAAATTTTTTTCAAGGTCTCCACATGTGCCCCCTCCTCAACCACCCGGTTTTTTTCTGGGCAAAACTGGAGAACTTTTGGAAAGTTCTGGGAGAGGTGGCAGGAATTTGAGAAAAATCGTTAAAATAGTAGGCAGGATGGGGAAAGGGAGTCGGAGGCTGTATCAGAAGAAAAAATTTGGGAGAATCTTAATTTTGCGATAATTTTGCAAAAATTTAAAGTTGCCACACGTGAGCTCTGGCTTAGTTGAGTATTCAAACTACAATCTCAAGGAGATTCGCATTCGGCCCATGAAAGGCTTCTTTCGCAGAGCCACTCAGTAATTATTGGTCTTTTACTTCTAGGTATCAACTCTACGGTGCTCCTGTCGCCGATGGCATGTAAGTTTAATAACCACTCATGTAGAAGTTACCCTAATGTAGTAGCTTGGTTGTGAAGTGATCTAGACAAGCTTTCCTAGCATAAATGAGCGCTGTATGTCACGGCAATGTTGTCTACCAACCACAACGCGTAACCTCTAGTAAAAACCGTTCCTACGTAACGCGATCCCTTACATGCATTACTGCACCTACGATAACATTTTTGATTTGTGCAGAAGTTTGTGTTTCTGCTTGTTTACACTTTGCGTAGTGCTTCATTTATGTTTCTCTTATCTAGTATGTCCAATAGGGAGGCACAGTTTAGCGTTTCTGCAATGTCACTTTGAAGGATCGAGCTTTTCTCCTCAATCAAGGACAACCTCTGCAGCTCCTTTGTAGTCTGGTCGCTTGCCGTGTTGGCGAGGACGACGTGCGCAGTCTGCAGCAGCCGTGCCCCTTTCACTGGCTCAAAGAATGCATGGAAGGGGGGCTGAAAGTGGGGCTAGCCGGATCCCCAACTGCTCGCCCACGATACCGACGTGCATGGCACGGCAGCCATGCCGCCTAGCCATCGGCAACCGTGTTAGTTTGTCTGCGCTCTCTCCCTTCTGAATGTCTCATACCTGAATCGCAGCGTTTGCACAGCCAGCTTGTGGGACCCAACAAGTAACCACAAAGCTGCCTCTCCAAGATACCCACAGGGTGTTGCGAGGCCATGCCATTCAATAAGTTGTTAGTTAGACGACATTGTGGGTTATATTATCAGCTAGTGACCTATGGACGAATCTTTGTGCTGCAGCCTTGCTCCTTCATTAAAATCGCTAGGTAAATTAGAAATCAAATTTCCATCTGTTTTTTTTCAGGTCCTCTACGAAAACCATCCATTCCTCATGGACATGACGAATGATTCTTTCCATTCTTGTGCTTTATTTAGAGGTAGGCTTTATATGTGTAACGTGTTTGGTGATTGTATTAGCTCAACCATTTTTGCTTTCATCATAAAGTGCGGCTCATGTAGAGAACTTGCCTTGTTGAACCTTTTTCTCTCTCAGTTTCCATCATTTTTTCTGTTAGGGTGTACCAAAGTTCGGGATATTTTCGAATTTATTTTTCGAGTCAAGTTTATTTCAATGCATAAGACTTTCAATCAGCGATCACATCCTTGTTGGCCCCCAGCAAACGAGTGGTGCCTGCTTCCAGAAGCTCTTTGGTCCATAAAGACCAGCAAAGCAGCTGCGTCATTGTTCCGAGGATGTTTTCGAAAACCGAAGAGATAAAATGGGATTAATTCAAATGGCAGTAAAGAGCTGTCAGGGCTACGAGGCTGTGGTGGAATTCCCCAGCTAAGCTTCGGGATCTCGAGCAGTGTCGTTTTCCAAATGTGTGACCCTGAGCTGTGGTGGAGAAGGCAAACATTGCTGGGTTGTGGGACCAAATGACGGGAACTTTCGTACTCCCTTTCCAGTTGATTACAATAGGACTCGCTGGTTACTACAGCATTGAGAGGAAGAAATTTTCCGCAATAAACCCCACCAAATACGCAGTATCACCGCCCTACTGATTGATAGGATTGCGCGATCGGTTCTGCCCTTTCTGGGGATCTAGCCACTGGCGCTTCCGGGAGTGATTCACCTAGAGACACCCACTCCATATCCAGTTACAGCGCTGTTCAACCAGTCCGTACGGCGGAAGCGGGAGAGAAGTTGTAGACAGTACCCACATGCGCTCCCCTTTTACTATCGGTCAACTCATGGGAAAACTTTTGACCGAACATACTCTTTCGATGGAGTGAGGACCTCTGTCATTTGTCCTTTTGGAACATTCAGGTGTGAGGAATAGATCGCGAGCTTGTTCGTACGAATTGGTTTTAATCAAGGAACGCAGTAGGTCCAAATCCAAGGCAGGCCTCCCTGGACGATGTTTTCTCCCAGATAGAAGTCACTTAGGCAAAGCGATCGCGCCACTTCCTCTTCCCTTCCTCTTCTTAGGGGCCTAGTTGAGAGAAAATGCCGCGTGAGGCTCCAATCACGTTGGGACCTAGTGGAGATTCATATAGCGAAAAGTGACTAGAATTATGAACTTCATCTACCATTTTGGATACTGGACGGGACGCAACTGCGGGTTGCTGCTCAACACGCTACCCATACACATAACTGGAACTTGAAGTAGCTGCGGAAAAATCTTATACAAGATTCAAAAAAATGTCACGAACTTTAGGGACACACTGATAGTTTTCCTCTCTTTGTGGTGTTCTGGCCTTTTATTTCGTGATCAGATTTCCATTCTTATTTATCACGTGCCCATCCGAGCACACTCTTCGTACAAACAATAAATAATATAATTTTTATCACAAAAAAACAGTTACTATATCACACGACAAAAACCACATAAAAATTAATGTCTAAATGAAAGTACAAAATGCATAAACCATCTCACCAAAGTAATCGCGTACAACGGCCTAAATCGTATGCGGCGTTGCGCATGCGATGTGGTCGACGAATGTGAACCTACGCATCGCGTCCGCACGCGCCTAAGGCTGGATATCACAAATACAACAATTGAACATGGCGTAAGAAAAACACAATTCTTAAAAAAAAGAGAACGTGCCCGCAGAAAAGAAACAGAACCACCGACCCAGACATCCAAGTTGAACTTGATTTATATTTACTAGTACTGTACGATATGAATCAGTATATTAAAAGCTCTTGAAAGGCATTGCCTTTTCCCGCTCTCTTAAGAAACTCAAGATCTCTATGGAAGCCTAACCGCCCCTACTCTTCTCTCGAAACCACGATCTACTTTGCTGCATCCCATTCAATTTATCGAGATATCGTGGGATATTCTCCACGTTCAGCGATATAGCTATCTATTCACGAGCTAGTTAGCGATAATTCGACAGCTCATTTCCATCCGTTAAATAATTAATTCTGATAGCGATGCACACATAAATCCGCGTGCAAGTCGCCGTCAAACATGGATCTCCTGACCAATACACTAGTCACTCAAAGCGCAATAAGCACTATTTCCGGTAGCAAGGAATCATTGCAGAGAACTTATAAATCCCAATAAATCTCCCTTTTCAAAAGAAGGGTTTATCAGGAAAAGACTGTTCGTAATTTTCTCGCGCTAGTCTACTACTTTTATCCTAACAGATCGCCATCTCCAGTCTCGCTCAGATCTCGCAACCCACAGAATGCCTTGTGCACTTATTTCAGTGCACATAGCCCAATTCCCGTTATTCCCCTACATGACCTGAATCCGAAAACCAGAGCATTACCTCAGCACGGGGTAAAGCGTGACTTCAGTAATGTTCTTGCGGGGATACACACCCCTCCTTCGCATAAAGCCACCAATATCCGTCATCGTGTGGGGGGTGGGGAAGTGGAAAGCTTCGCAACTATCAGAAGAAAAGCCCCTGAACAAGGATCACAAGGAAAATGCTCGAAACATGAAATATCAACATCAGGTTATCCGCTAAGCCTCATGCGAACTAGTATCCTCCCCGCGACCAGATACCCCATGAAGATTCCCGGTGTGCGCTTGACCCTGCGCTGAGTCTGCTTCGCGGGATAGTTAAAATTTTAGCATTTGCACGTTCAACTCTAACATCACATAGCATTGATAAATTACCCTCAAAGAACATAAAAGAACTCTCCATACCCTAAAAACAACCACTTCTTAGGTTAGCGTCGAATAATTATCACGAATAGTAATACTACCGAATCCTGTTCGGAAGACAGCTAGCAGCACCATCCTTCTTCAGGCAGTTCGTTGGCTTCACTGGCTTTCAATACTAAACGTTCTTGTTCCTGAAACCAAAAGGACAATCAGACAGTTGTGAACGATCATGAGAAAGAGCAAATCGTTTTCAAAATGAACTGATCACAATTATATTACAAATGCTCAGAAAACCGCACGATTAGGACCAAGACACACAGCTTTGAAAAACTCGTCCGGTCGCCGACAAACTCGTACAGTGCTCAGAAAGAAGCGGCTCTCATTCAAGCCCTTCGAGGCGTTTTTGGCTACTAGGGTACTAGAGCTTTAAAGCTTCACACTTAAAATCCAACTCAATTAGTTCACTACAAAAAATTCTGTGCCAAGACTCTCACCCACCTTTGCTTGCCGTTCTCCCTCACTCTGCACATGCATGGGTTTGCTTTGCTGCAGCTTATGAAGCAGTGTCAGGAATATCGACTCAACATGGTCCGCTTCCGAATCTGCCTTAGCTGACGTCTCGAACAGCGCCATATTGTTGCGGTCAGCGAACACCTAGAGCACTAGAGATGTACTGTGAAATGTCACAAAAATAGTACAACTAAACGTTGAGGAAAAAGATAAAATCATCAAGGTTGGTACTTTGCGAATCTGGCGAATACGCGATCCAGAGTCCGCAGTTTAGGAGACTGCGACAAAGAAATGAATGGGAATCGACTGAATCAACAGACACCATTCGCCAAGTATGAACGCTGTTCAAATACTTTCATTTGTTTCGCAGAAGGATAGACAAAAAAAGTATTAGGCACAGTTCGGCTAGGTAGAGGCATTCTGCTGGTTTCCATAGCTCACTACCAATGCAGGTGGGGACATGAGCTTTGTTTATACTTGACAAGAGTTCACAAGTATTACCCAGGTGAGGCGTGTAATTCAACAGGAACTGGCAAAAGAAACTAGCGAAAGTGCAATGATGTCCCCCCTAAGCCAAACAACGCAAAAAAT